TGTGAGCATGGATGGTTGTTCGTCTCTGTGTGCCCTGCGGTTGGCTGGCAACCAATTCAGGGTGTCCCCCGCCTACTGCCCGGAGACGGCTGGGATAGGCTCCAGCTCCCCCCGCGACCCTAGTGAGGATCAAGCGGTTCGGAAAATGAATGAATGAATTATTATATATACTACTATAATAATAATAATAATAATAATAATACAAATCACATTTGATTAATTTATAATAACACAAATCATATGTAATGTATTTATATCTACTAAGCCCCTAAGGCTCCGTATATATCTGACATTTTGGGGGGTTGTGTTTTTATTTCCATAATCGACTATATATTTTTGCCCATAGTGTGAGAACACACGCAAAACAGAACAAAATCTACAATATTCCAAAAGAAAACAGATGTACTGCCAGTCCGTAAAGAAGTAGGAAGTAGGAAAGTAGTAGATGAGAATTGTCACTGGAATCAACTGTGCTGTCACTTCTCGTGAATAACTATGTGCACTCATAACTCAGGAAAGATTTTCTTTGACACAAACGCGAATGATTGTATTTTCAGACCGGAATCAATTTTAACTCTGACTTTATGCTATACTGGAGAAATGTACAATTTGGGTTCTACAAAAGTAAGGAAAAAAACACTAAACAAACCTTCATTATAAATTTAATAATTATTCTTGCTAAGTTCCATATCCACAAATCCAGATGGAGTAAATAAACCTATTTTTTTAATTTTTCAAGCAGAAACAAAGCAGTATCTGAGTTTTATTAAGGATTCCAAAAACAAGAAAGCTGTTAAGACTCTGGCTATATGCTCCTTATTTGAAATTTTTGTTTAAAAATCCCCCGGCTTCTCTTTTTGTTTAAATGTTTGTAATAAGTACATGTATTAATAACGTTTTCGTTTTGTTTTCTGTTTACTGAGAATTGTATTGTGACTTGTTCAACAAAGATTGTGTATTTAAAAAAAAAAAAAAAAACGGAATCAATTTTGGTTTAGACCGGAAGTCCCATTCCATCTCGCACCCCTATGCTTCTAGTAGTGGTATCTTCTAGTGATGTGTCGTTCGCGAACGAGCCGGCTCTTGGAGCCGGCTCTTTGAAGTGAACGACATGAGCCGGATCCTAAGAGGGAGCCGCCTTAATGGGAGCCGGCTTTTTTTTT